TTATCCTATCATGGTGAGCTCCCCTACATCGAGAATTTAAATGCCAGAATTAAATAAAAAGAAAGAAAAGAAAATGAAAAAGAAGGAAAATATAAAAAATGTCAAATTAAAGAATATAGAAACTAATTTATCGAAAAACTAACCGAAGATAGGGACGCTCACCACAATAATATTTTTATACGTGTATACCAGGTATGTAAATATGAAACCGGAATTTACCAATAGATAGCCATAACTGTCAATGTAGTTGCCGTCAGATCGCGTCATTGACGCCATTTCCTTGTTCTGACATCTCTGACAAAGATTTTCAACTCACAACAATACAAGTTTCATACAACAGTATAGTTTGTAATAGCGTCGAACATGTCGAATTTTATGCCTGGAAACTACGATTTGCGGACTGCATTGATTTTCTGTTACCATTTGAAGAAAACTGCTGCAGAATCGCATCGAATGCTTGTCGAAGCTTACGGTGAGCATGCTCTTGGTAAATCACAGTGCTTTGAATGGTTTAAAAAATTCAAAAGTGGCGATTTTGATGTGAGAAACGAAGAACGTGGAAAACCACCGAAAAAGTTTGAAGACAGCGAATTGCAAGCATTGTTGGATGAGGATGACGCTCAAACTCAACAACAACTCGTGGATTAATTGAACGTGACACGAGAAGCCGACTCCATACGTTTGAAATCCATGGGAAAGATCCAGAAGATGGGAAAATTGGTTCCACATGAACTGAATGAAAGACAGCAGAAATACCGAAAAACCACTTGCGAAATGCTGCTCGCCAGGTACAAAAGTCATTTCTCCATCGAATTGTGACTGGCGATGAAAAGTGGATATATTTTGAGAATCCTAAGCGTAAAAGATCGACTGTAAGGCCAAATCACTATGGACGGAAGACAATGCTCTGTGTTTGGTGGGATCAGAAAGGTGTGATCTATTATGAACTGCCAAAACCTGGCGAAACCGTTAATACTGAACGCTACCGACAACAATTGATTAATTTGAATCAAGCTTTGTGTGAAAAACGACCGGAATATCAAAAAAGGCAACACAAAGTGATTTTGCTTCATGATAATGCACCATCACACACAGCAAAACTGGTCAAGGAAACGATTGAGGCGTTTGGTTGGGAAATACTTTCGCATGCGGCTTACTCACCAGACTTGGCTCCGTCCGATTACTACTTAATAGTACTTATTTGCATCGATGGGACACGCACTTGCTCAGCAGCGCTTCACTTCTTACGAAGATGTACGAAAATGGCTAAATGACTGGTTTGGCTCAAAAGAACAACAATTTTTTTGGCGTGGCATCCACAAATTGTCAGACAGGTGGGAAAAATATATAGCTAGCGATGGGCAATACTTCGAAAAAAATATTTTTTGTCATTTTCATGCAATAAACGTGTATTTTCTATTAAAAAATTCCGGTTTCATATTTACATACCTGGTACATATAATTAAGAAAGATTATTTTACTTTTAATTTTTAATGATATAAAAATAGATTTTAGAAATTAGAAGATTGACTGATATCATAAAACTAATTGTTCTGTATTTAGAATAAGTTTAGAAAGCCAGTTTAAGGAACGCAGTGTAAAATTACCTAGCAACAAATACGAACTTATTGTGCAACAGAGACGACGGCACTTGTTACAAACAGGTAAAATTTTTACACATTGTTAACGTATATAAAATAAAATAAACAATAAATGTATAAATAATTAAAAATTGTATGTCTATAACAACTTATGTAAAATAATCTAATATGTAATTTTGCTATTTAATAATAGGTATAATATTATAAATATGTAGATAATATTATAAATTCCTAATCAAACTACGTTGTCCTAAAATATAATTATCAGCTAAACCATGGAAGCGCTTGACCGGAGACGCTTTATGGCGGCAGCAAATTCTTGCAATGTTTTTAAAAAAATTATTACACATCGCTTCGTCTTGGAAAATATACATATTTTCGGTAAATTTTTCGTTCTACCCAGAAAAAATATAACATATTATATTTTTATAAATAATCAAAGCCATTTTAGATTACTTTAGCAGTCATTACTCTCATCTTGGCCACTATAATCGCAGAATTGAGCAATTTCACACTATTTGACACAACGTAAGCTAATCTTATTTGTCTTGTAATAAAGAAAGCAAAACTATTTTAGCGTCATAATATACTGCTATTATACAAAAAATTATTATTCTGACTTTTATTTTTATATATACAAAGTTTTTACTTTTTTATCAAGCTAATTAAAATACTTTTTCAATTCAATCAATTATTTCTTCAGCGAGAGAGTAATGAATCTGACGAGTTATATGGACAACAATTTTCACGTGCTATATTATGCGGCCGATGATAAATCTATAAAAGATTTTCTTGCAACATTGTACGTTACTAGTCAAACCTACAGTGAGAGGCATAATTATCATATCTCTAAAAACATTCCCGCCACGGATTTAATGGTGCAACCTGACTTGCATTCTATAGAGGTATCATAAAAAACATTCTATTTATGCGAAAATATTAAACTATAGAAATCAACGCCTAAACGGTCTAGCTGGATCTTAATGCTTGTATGATTCTTATGTGAATTTATATGTATACTACGTGTGTAGTCCCCAGAAACGCGCGCCGAAATGATTTTTCGATCTTAAAACGCTAACTCTATTAAACTACCGCAGTAATATCACGAGTTAAATTGACTAACAATTTAACAAATTTTTGATGCTTATTCGCACCTTCGAAACGATCTTAATAATGTTAAATGACATATTAAAATCTGTAAATAATTAATTCTTATTGCGAAAAATATTACCTACTACACACGTAGTATATAAATTCACATAAGAATCATACAAGCATTAAGATCCAGTTAAACCGTTTAGGCATTAATTTCTATAGTTATCACGTATAGGGTTCTATAATATATTATATCGAAAATATTAATTTTATAACAGTTTAGGGATCGTTACGTGATGTCTATCGACATGTACACAGATGGACGCGTACAACTTATGTATTCGTCCACTGCAGTACATAGTGGGCCAATTGCATTAAATTTATTACATAATGCGTTATTACGTTACCATTGCGGTTCAGACAATTGTTGGATCAAATTGACTAGTCGACCATTACTTCGTTCGGGGCAGGTAATATCTCTGATATTAATTAGTGAATTAAATTATGCTGATTCTAAAAATATTGAGCTATTTTTCATCACATTAATATATTTTTGGCTTACTTACTTTTTGCATATAAAATAAAAGGATTACTTATAGAATATTGTATAACTAAAATAAAAATAAAGAGGTATTAATGTTCGATAAAATGTTGGTATCATTACATACACTGCCAGAAATTGAAACCCCAACACCATGAAGGAGTTGTGCTAGATGAATGAAAGTTACACAGAATGTTTGTTCACGTGAATTATTTTATTGATATCTATTACAAGATCACAATTCGCAGGATACGAGTGTAGCGCCATATAAACATTAAGTATATTCCGACTTAATACCCACTGTAGTCACCTCTATGTTGAATGCAGGCCTCTAAACGTGCATGCATCCGATCGTAGAGGTGTCGGATATTATCTTGTGGAATGATATTCCACTTGTAATAGATATCAATATAATAACTCATGTAAACAAACATTCTGTGTAATTTTCATTCATCTAGCACAACTCCTTCATGGTGTTGGGATTTCAATTTCCGGCATATATATATATAATTTACAGTGGCAACATTTATTGGTTCATACACGCAGCGTACGAAACTGGGAAAACGCTGCTATAATAATAACTTTGTTCCTTCTTCTGCCCTCTATTGATATGGGTATACGAGAAAAAAATACACGTTCAAAAATGCTGCAAACTAATGCGATCGGTATGTCTACGCGAATCTATTGGATCCCGACGTATATTATTGATTTCCTTTTGTATGCGTTCTCCATAATATTCTTCGGAATTACTATTTTAAGTGTCTATCACCGCACGTTGCACTTCTCAAATTTAGAGATTGGTAAGAATTTTAAGATGCAATGTGTTCATCTTTACTTATATTTCAGTTCTGTTTAAAAAATTTTATCTTTTGTATTTTAAAATTTACAAAAAATCAACGTTTTTTATATTTCGAGAATTTTACAGTAACGTAAAACAGCCATCATATAACAAAATAATTAAACAAGTATTTGTAGATATGTTACATAAATATTCGAAGTTTAAACCTAACATTGTTTATAATTAATCGATATTTCAGTTCAAATGCTAATGATATTTCTATGTTACGGAGGGTGCGCCATTCCATTAAGTTATTGCGTACAACTTTTTACAAGAAAACCTGAAAATGCGTACCTAAGTGTGATACTGATCAATATTGTAACCAGTTAGTAATTTAGTAGATGGTTTAATTTTATATTGCTATTTATATATAAAATTTATATACTGTAAAAAATAACATTTTATTTAATTCTTTATACAAAATATCTTTATTTATCTTTATAATCTTTATTTAAATGTAGAATATGTTTTGCAGTGTTATTGGTAAACAGCTCCGTTATATTTCCATTAATATTTCGAGTACTCAGCAGCGTTGTAAGATACACTCTTGAAGTTCTTATACATATATTGCCACCATACATTCTAGCTTGTGCTTTAAGCAATTACATTACGCTGAATTTATATAACAGACAGTGCAGTTATTTTAATACTTGCGATACAGAATTTTATATTGAAGATCCATGTTGTCGTAAGCTCAAAAAATTATCGTTATCGTAACAAATTATTTCTGCTAAATAACATTGATTTGATGTTTCAGAAAATTGTAAAGGCAAAGATTGTTACAAACACTTGGATGTAATGCTGATTAAACAATCCAGCTTTGAGTATAATCATTCTGTCACAGACGATATACTTTTAATGGTATCCCTAATGTTCGCCTTTTACATACTGCTGGAAGTTTTTGAAGAAAAAAATCGTAGAAAATGGTATAGTTATTTTGTACCTCTCAAGAAAGATGATGATATTTTAGAATCGGAAGTTATGCAAGAAAAGAAGCGAGTCGAAGAATATATGAAACGTAAAAAAGACAATATAAGAATAAAAATTATCTGCATTTATATTACGCTATAAAGTTTATGAATTTAAAACACGTAAATTTCATTGCATATGTAGATTATGACGAAACAAAATTGCTTCCATCGCGAGTTGCTCTCGTTGTCCAAAATTTAACAAAAGAATACGCTAAAGAAGCGATAATTCAAGGAATCAATTTTAGTGTAAGCGAGTTTATGTAATTTTAACTAAGAAATTTATTTTTATACATTTTCTTTTTTATACTGTATATTGCAATATTTAAATACACAGATATCTTATTTAGATCCACAATCAAGAGTGTTTCGGTTTGTTAGGATTTAATGGTGCAGGAAAATCAACAATATACAAAGCGCTAGTAGGTCAAATAAAAATGTCAGCTGGAAAAGCGGTGATATATGAATACGAGTTTACAAGAAATCAAGAGATGGTAAATATAGTTTTATTATTTTGTAAAAAGTAATAAAGTTGATACAAGCATATCATTAGGCATTTAACAAGAAGCATGTAATTCTTTTGTGGCTAGCATTTTATAATAGTAAACTTTCTATTTACTTTTATATAATCATTAGGAAGATTTTAATTTTTTTATATAAAACAATGTATTTATATTTTGACCGTATATTTGAGAAACTCAATTAATACTATAATGTAACTGCCTATTACGGTCCGAGCTGGATCTTCGTTGCTTTAAATAATTCAATCTTGAATTACTAATATATCCTATATATGTACTTGCATATATACCATATTGTAGTCTTTTTCAAACTGCGCGCCGAATTGTTTTTCCGGACTAAATAAACGCAATTAAAACTACTCTAATAATCGCGAATTAAATTGACAAGCAATTTTTAATAATTCGATACTACCATCAAGCAT